TTCTAAAAGTAAACCCCCCAAAAAAAATTTAAAAAGAAAAAGGCAACACAACTAGGAGAAGACATCTTCACCTGAGACACAACACAAACTGGTACTGGTATTGGTTGATATAAGATAATGTGATAGGTTATCTCTTAACAAGTTAACAAATTATATATTCACATGAGTGCTGTTCCTTTAAAAATAATTAACCCTTGGGTTACAAAGGTACATATAAAGGATATATAAAATAGTGGTATTTATCTATCACTAATTTACCGAACATATTTTTCTATGAATACAATATTTTTAGTTTCTTTCCCTAACACAAAGATGTATAGGTACAGCAGTTATAATCAGGATTATTCAGGTGATAAAAATCTCTTTTTAAAAAAGACACAGGTTGGCCCTGGCTGGCATAGCTCAGTGGATTGAGTGCAGGCTGCGAACCAAAGTGTCGCAGGTTCGATTCCCAGTCAGGGCACATGCCTGGGTTGCAGGCCATGGCCCCCAGCAACTGCACATTGATGTTTCTTTCTCTCTCTTTCTCCCTCCCTTCCCTCTCTAAAAAATAAATAAAATCTTAAAAAAAAAAATACACAGGTACCAACACAGGTATCAACTCTTAACTGGTGACCAAGATTCTAAGGCTGAGAAGCTTTCTCTGATACTTAGCACATTCCTAGAAAAGCCTTTCTTCTTTGGGTGTCCCAATAATAAGCTCAAGGACTGAAAATACTTTTTTGAGACTAAACAAAATTATCAGGAAGGCAAATCTGTTATTCAATGTACATTACAAATTGTGAAGAAACTTCATAAAGAATTTGACTTCTTTTGTCATTACTCTAATTGCTAAGTTCACAAAGAGCTGCTTGCATTATTGTATATTCAAAGGTGAGAACAGAATCCTAATGACTAAAAGCTTACCAAATCGACACCCACATCACTACATCATATTCTGGACCTATCCTGGCCTGAAATAAATGCCTGGTCATAGCATTTTTAAAAGGCTAGGAATATACTCTGACCGGGTGGCTCAGCTGGTTGGAGTGTCATTCATACACTACAAGGTTGTGGGTCTGATTCTCAGTAAGGGCAGATACCTGGGATGGGGGCTTGGTCCCTGGCAGGGAGGCATACCGGAGGCAACCGATCAGTATTTCTCACATTGATGTCTTTCCCCCTTATTCTAGTATCTATAAACATATCCTTGGATGAGGATTAAAAAACAAAATGAAAAAGCTAGGAAGAAATGTCCTGTATTTCACAAGGAATCTTAGAAATTCTCAGAAACACCAGTGAAGACACTGGTTAACAGTTGAGGGAGTAATCTTTTTGATGTTTTGAGAATCTCCTAGAAATTTAGCAGTCACTGGTGATTTTGATAAGCAGAATTTCAATGACATGTTGAGGACAGATACAATATGCTAATGGAAAAACAGTAACTTGGATCTCTCTCTCCAGAAGCTTAGTTAAGTCAAAGAAAGTTAGTCTAAAAGGAAAACATGTAAACATGTTTTTGCTGAGGGACAGACAAGCCTGGATAAGTGAGAGTGGCCTGAGGACGGGGGAAGTGGTGAAAGACGGAGAACAGATCTTTGGTGCAGTTCACTGCTGAGATGAACCACCAATGAGACAAAGGAAGAAGGCAAAGAAACAAACCCAGAAAATTCTGGCACTAGGGTATTACAAAGTGTTGAGATGGTAGAATAAAAGAGTTGGGAGTCATCAGAGAGAGCCTGCAGGAAGGAGAGGAAAAAATGTCCTAGGAGCAAAATGAATGACTGGTAAATAGCACCAAGAATCCAGCTGAGATCTGAGGAAAATTAATATGTAAATGAGTTAGCATATGTTTAGTGCAGTGCCAGAGTGTTATACCAGTGTTGTTACAGAACAGCATTAATCTGTAAGTATTCACCAGACATCTGCCAAAAAAACCCCACAAACAACAACAACAACAACAAAACACAAAAAAAAACCCCAACTTTACATGAGAGTTAAAAACAAATAAAAAGAACCCAGGGAAAATAGTTTGAGACTGAGAAAAAACCAAAACCCCAAAAATCCTTGAAAAAAAAGACCTATTATGGCTTCAATGTTTGAATCTCTCCAAATTTATAGGCTGAAGTCCCAATCCCCACTGTATTGGAAATTGAAGATGGGGCCTTTGGGTGGTAATGAGGGTGGGGCTTTATGATGGGTTGGTGTCCTTTTGAGGCCCCAGAGATACTGCTCTCACTATGCATGCATATAAAGAAGGCAGCCTGTAAGCGCATAACAAGATGGTGGCAGAATGAAGCCTATCTTGTCAGCATTTTGATCTTGGACTTCTGCACCTCCAGAACTGTGAGAAATACATTTATTTTATTTAAACCATTTGGCCTGAACTGACCAGGAAAAACTCTTAAAATACCCCAGGAAAGATACTGAATTTGCGGATTAAGACAGAAGGCTAAAAGAAGGGAGACCAGAAAACAAGAATGAGCTTTTGGAAATTAAAAATGTGATACTTGAGCCCTGGTTGTTGTGGCTCAGTGGACTTGAGTGACAGCCTGTAAACCAAAAGGTCACCAGTTTGATTCCCAGTCAGGGCACATGCCTGGGTTGCAGACCAGGTTCCCAGTGGGGGCGTGCAAAGCAACTGATCGATGTATCTCTCATACATCGATGTTTCTCTCCCTCTCTTTCTGCCTCTCTTCCACTCTATAAAATCTTTTTAAAAATGTGATACTTGACATTACGTTAAAAAATGAGGTAAAAAGGAAAAGATCAGAGGTCAAATCAAGGAAATTCTCTCAGAAAGTTAAAAACCAAAGGTAAAGAGATGGAAATCAGGAGAGAAAGAAAAATGGAAGATCAATGCTGCAATTCCAGAAAGACAAGACTGGGGGTGGGGTGGGGGTGGAATGTGGCAATTATTATATAATACAAGAATTTCCCAGAAATGAAGGAAAATGAGTCTGACTAAGAGAGCCTGCCAACTGCCCAAAGCTAATTAAAACACACACCTTCACCAGGGCATTCCATGGTAAAATTTCTGAAGAAAATCTCCTGAAGCAGAAAAATGGTTACACACAAAGGTGTTATCAGAAATGGCAGATTAAGCCCTGGCTGGCGTAGCTCAGTGGATTGAGCGCGGGCTGGGAACCAAAGTGTCCCAGGTTCGATTCCCAGCCAGGGTACATTCCTGGGTTGCAGGCCATAACCCCCAGCAACCGCACATTGATGTCTCTCTCTCTCTCTCTCTCTCTCTCTCTCTCTCTCTCTCTCTCTCTCTCTCCCCCCCTCCCTCCCTTCTCTCCCTAAAAAAATAAAAATAAATAAAAATCTTAAAAAAAAAAAGAAACGGCAGATTAAAAGACAATGAAGCAGTGGCATCAAAATTCTCAAGGAAAATGAATTCCAACCTGAAATCCTGTAATATATCAGTTTAAACATAAGCTATTTTCAGATGTGCAAGTTTTTGGAAATCTTACCTCTATGAACCTTTTCTCAGAAAGCTAGTCAAAAATGTTCTTCTCTAAAATGAGGGAATAAACAAGCAATTAGGTATAGTGTTCAGCAAACAAAGGACTCTAACTCAGGAGAAAAGTAAAGTCTGAGATGCTGAAGGGCAGAAAGCCTGCAAAGCACCAGTCCAGACCACAGCTCCAGTTCATTATCTGAGACTATATAGAAAACAAGTTTTCAGAGGGCTTTTGGAATTTTGTGGCGATTTTGAGAAAACTCAGTGATAGGAACATAGAAATTTTCAAAGGAAACAAAAAGACCAGAAAATTAGTAACAGGAAAAACAAAGAATTATAAGAGAAACGACATATAACCGTAACTTGACTCAAATGAACAACACTCCCACATAGTCATGAGGTAAAAACTGTCTACGAATTAAATATAAAAAAACTGCCATCTCTCTTAACTGGGATCTATATATGGGAGAATGGGAGGGTAATGATAGCACCCAAATTCCTGTCATAACAGGAAGTTACTCAAGTACAATTTAGAAACATCAAAAAATACCTGTATAAATACATAATTTAGAAAGGTGAAGATCAATGCATGCTGGAAACAGCTTAGAATTAAAAACAGATGCTTTTGTGGAGCAGGATTTGGCAGTAGGCAAGTTTAAAACTGGGATATCACACTGTTCATTACAAGTACTTTAAGATTAGCATTAGTTTTTAATCTATGTACATTACTTGGTTAAAAAACTAAAATAACTAGACCTAAAAAGTCTTTCCCCTGTGTTGCTCTACTCCTGCTCTTCAAGACATAAAACTTGTTAAATAATTTAGCATAAAAAGTAATTTCTTAATTTAAAACAATGCCACAAATATCAAAGTAGTAGTAAAGCATGCATTAAGCTCATACAAATGGTGCTTTACAAAATCAATCTTTTACACGCATTTTTGTAACTTCTTAGGCAAATATTTTAAGTATTTGCTATAACACTAAAAATACAAGTATAATAGCACTAAATAGCTTCATAACAAATGCATTTTAAGTAGTCATTGCTGATACCCCTAACTCCATGCTAAAAAAAAGTATAATTTTGGTTTTTGATAGTGAAACTACACTGCAACTGTTCTCTGTCAGGGTATCCAACACTGGAACTTAAATGTGTATAATGAAGTGATGTCTCAAAGTATTGCACTTCTAAAGTTTTCTTGGTCCATTTAACACAGAAATGCTAGTAAGGTGCTTATTTCTTCAGCCAGGTAAGCCTTAGAATTTCAGGCCAAATTACTGGAGGTATCAAAAGTCAGAAGTGTTTTCCTGGGTCTGACAGCCAGAATATCTCTAAGAAGTTTACTCAGAACCTGGTTTGGAAGGGAGAAGGCTCATTCTTACCACCCCTAAATTTCTGGATACCTTTCTAATTTGGGCTTTGTAATACATTCAAAATAGTGCCATGAGATGTTTAAAAAACATTTATCCTTAAAAATACTAGAATGTTCTTTGAAAACTTATTACACTTACTCTTTTAAAGTATTCTAACTTAAAGAAGTTTAGGAAAGGGAAAAATGAACATAAAAAGTTTATTTCTAGCCCTGAAAGAACAAAGTTATTGAACAGAGTCATCAAATACAGCAGTTAATGTCAATGTAACAATTAAATAATTAAAAGGGATTAAATTAAAAATAAGTCAATATAAAATTTGAAGACAAAAGCTGCTTTCACTTAATTACATTTCTATCTACCAACATAAAAAAAAATCAAACCCAAAATAAAACACATCCCTACTAAAAATGTTCAATTCCAAATATAATTCTCTGCTTAATACAGAAGAATGAAAATTTGCTTGACACATTTTCTTTCTCCCTCTCATTTGGCGACATTCTAGAATGGTGAGTGAGAAAGACTTCAGTTCTCTCAAGGTCAGGCCAGTGTTGGATTCTCTTTTGTAATTCCCACAATGCCTACCACAGTGTCTTTGCTGAAGTGGTCAACAAATATGTTGAGAAAAAAATGTATTTGTGCATATTTTTCCTTTCTTATACACATGCATATACATGTACTGCGAAAAAATGGATTTGGATTGTTTAAATATCTGTTACGGGAGTAATGAAGACAATCTTTTTTTATATTATTATGAAAATCCACTATAAAAAAACAAAACCAAAATGAGCGCTAATCTGGATTTTGGCTATATTTTAGAATTGATTTTTTGACATTTCACTAGATATGGATCTCAGTATATTTAAAATATTTTAGATTAAAAAACTGATGCAAATTCTTTAAGTACTCATATTTTTTATTTCTAACGATAGCTACTGCTTGATCAGATCTAGACTTATTCTGGCTAGAATACAGTATATTTAAACAAACATATTTATGTGAGCCCTTAAAGAAATACTCATAGGTAGTTTTAAATTGCTTATTAAAGGCACAGGTTCATTTAGGGCTGGTGGTAACTAGACAAGCAGCTTAATATTTATAAGTGAAAGGGAAGAGAATTATGTGCCAGGCATTCAACACATGAAGAGAGTTGTGTAAGCCTTAGTTTCTGATGTTAACACAATCACTCTACTTGTTTACAATTCCAGGTAGGATAAAATATTCAATATTTTCATGGTTTCCCGGTTTTAACTGTCCCTAACAGCAGCAAAAGGAATAAAAGGAGAAGGAAAATTTAAGACTGCTAGAGTCTAAAATATAATAAATAAGTACTATAGTAATACTGTCCTAATAATACAAGAGGACTAAGGTAACTTTTAGATTTCAATGGGAATTTTCATTCTGAAGTGATGACAAAAAGGGTAAATACAAAAAGCAGTTATTTAAAAAACATGAACCTTGATTCAGATATAATTTTTCTTTCAGTAAGATCTAAGCACTGTAATTTAAAATTGACTGATATATCACAATTCTGTACTGCGTTTAAGGTTATTCTGTTTAAAAATGACCCATTTCAGAACCAAAATTTCTATTACAAGTTAGTTTATCCAATTAAGTAAAGAATAAACCACAGTGTAGTTCCCTTAACCTAGGAGTCAGGTTTTAATGACAAAGTCCGTTGCCAGCAATGGACATGCAGGTAACCAACCAAAGTTGTAAATACAAACCCCAAACTGCTTCTATAAACTGGAAAGACCTTTGTTGAGTTGTAGGAATACAAATGGGGCATTGGCACTGAGTTCAATGAATATGGTCTTTGTGACTTATGCATGAGGTGCCAGCTAGAGTGGTCATGACCATCAGTCTTATCATCTAGTTGGTTTTCACTGGTAGCACCTTCTTCACCGTAATTCATCCAGAAAATTATTTACAAAGAATGTTCAAATCTGGAATTCAAAGAGACAATGTGGCTTTCCACCAGAAATAAACCAGCTTGTTCCTGTAATTCAGTAATAGCTATAGAGGCCAATATAATCCAGAGAAACGTGAAGTCAAGAATCGAATTGAAAAAAGAGACCATTAAGTGCTCTAGATAAAAGTTTCATTATCTATTTTACTCATTTCTGTGAAAAACTTCCTGCATTATCAATAAAAAACCAGCCATTTCTATTCTTATATCTGTATCTTATACACAGATGACTGGAATGATAGGAAATAAAACTGTATTAGTCCCCCCGCCCAATGTACTCCAAAACATCACAATTGTTTTTATTCATGATCTGTACTATTACAGGATGGTAAGCAGGCATGAAATTAATACGAGAATGGTGGGAACATTCCCATGTTCCAAAATCAAACCACAGATTTTTCTCTTTTATGTGGCTCTTGGCAGTCAGAAAGGACAGTATTGCATCCAAATACAAAACAATAAAGAAATAAGGAGAGAGGAAAAGGAGAGGAAGAAGAGACCAGAAGTGGGGGTGTAGGTGGGGGGAGGGAGACTCTAATAATGCTACAGGTCACAGACCTTTTAAAATCTTTAGAATAAAAAAAAATATTGCTATCAACAAGGACATTTTATTTTTCTTCCTTTCCCCCAGTTTTGTACCTAAACATTATTTACTTATTTGAAAAAAAAATATGAACTAACTCAACATATCAAATGATCCATAAATTTATCAAGAACTACTGTCAGTTCTCAGACAGTAAAACATTGGTAATGGTTTAGGTACAATGTTTTTAACAAATCTCTACAGTTTATTGGTCAGCAGCTGCATCTCCATGTAACTGACAAGTCTCTTTCATGAATACGATCTCATCTAATTATCTGAGAGCTCAATAAGGTTCAAGTCTTTCTCACTTTGTCTCTACTAGCTCCAAATATTCTCTCCTTTAAATGGAAAAGAGTTAATTCTGAAAATTCAATTGTTATTATATTATTTACTATAGGGGGAGGGTGAGAGAAGGTTAATTAAAAAACAAACTAAAATTACAACATATACAGAAACTTATTTCCAAAATGATGGGGAAAAAAGGGGAAGAGGAAAGTAGGGACACTAAAAGTTAGAAGAACAAATCCTGAAGCCAAATCTGAAGAGGAAACAGTCAAAAAGAAAACAAAATTATAAAGATGTACAATCAATGGGATTCTTTTTCTGTCTCAATGATTTAGTTATAAATATAGATTATTAGTCTTCTCTTTATACATGTAACAAATGCCAAGCACTTCACTACCATGATATTTCTAAAATTGACTTTCACATTTGTTAAAAAAGGTAAAAATCACATACTTTTCTTCCCTTCCCCCAGTTCAAATTCTGAACTGAAATATTACAACAGCTGGTTCTAATTCTATACAAAGTTAAATCATATTAATCTCCTTTGCCAGTATAAGGAGTTACATAATTTCTATCAAACTTGCCTCAAATTTAGGCCTTAGAAAAATTTCTCAAAGCAACTCAAAAGGAGCAATTCAAGAAAAAAGAAAGCTACAGAGAGAAAAGAAGACCAGCAGATGAGACAAATAACTGAAGAACTCAAATCTACCATTCAAGTACTGAAAATACCCCAAAAGGGACAATGAATGGAATCTATTACAATGAAATCAGCAAAATAAAATGCAACTCTCAAGCATGATAAATGGCCCCGCTGGGCTGTCTGCTGAAAGAAGGCTAGTGATTCATTCCACAATTCCTTTTGGACCCTAAAGAAGGGATTCAATAGAAGGTTGTCATTCTGTTTTGCAATTTTCTCTTGGTTGTCTTCAGGAAGTAGTTGTTTGCTTTTTTCCTACATGTTGTGCAGGCCATTTCCTTAAAACCCGAAAGAGTAATAATTTTCATATATTAAAATATTTCTTTTAGAAAATGGAAAAGGAACATGAGGCCATGGCAACGATGTTAACGATTACTCTTCATTGCTTCTTTAGCTGCCATAATCAGTGGTGTCAAGCTAGATAATGGTTTGGCCAGTTTCAGGAAAGGATGCTGCCAGAAAGAGGGAAGAAAAATAAATTTATAAATGTCACCAATTTAGAAGCTAAATATTCCCTTTCAATTAAAGCCCCAAACATTTTAAAGGGCTATGGTATATTTAATAAACACATATTTCAATACTTGCATAAAATTGGCATAACCAATACATCATTTCCTTTATAAAATGACAGTTAAATGACCCAGATACCTATGCCAGCAATGAACTGGTCTGAGAACTGATAATATGCAAAAATTCACATACTTATTATAATATGATGGTTATGTTAGTCCCAGCAAATGAAATCCTAAACTGTGGCAACTGCCATGCTACTGTTGATGAATGAGCATTGAAATGTAACTAATAACCTCATGTCAACTTTCTGTTGGTTACTCAAAAAAGTCAACTTTTTCCAAAAATAGTATCATTTCCAAATTCACCTGTAACAATTCTTTGGCCGAACCCCTTTTCTCCACATCCATCTCCAAACATCGATTTAAGAAATCCCGAAATATTGGTGAAAGTTTCTCTGGGTTCTGAAGTTCTGGAGTTCCATTAGTCGCTATCAGGTACAAAGCCTTTAAAAAAGAACACCTGTTACATACTTCAGGTAGCAGCTCAGCACAGTGAGAGAGTGCTTTATAACACTTGTAGCCCTTTTTTACTTCAGTAAAGACAGTCACCAAGAACACTAATGTGAGGTCAGGATTCTTTCTACCCATCTTGGGTAGATATTTTTTCCTTTGTTTTAGACATTACATTTCCCCAACTTCTTTCTCAAAAATTAGCTTCATCTTTTTTTTGGTGGGTGGGGGCAGGGGTGGAAGGTAGAGGTTATGTGTAATACATAATGATAAAAAAACTGTAATATGTAAAGGAATAAAGAAAATGACCACAATCCCACCATTAACATATATAATAGCATCCCCTTTACCTTTCCCAGGCTTTTTTCAAGTCACACCACATTTCAAAACAATGTAATTTATTAAAACCATTTAAAAAAACTAGTTATATATATGTAGCTAGAGATGAAAAGGCAGAACACAGAGGATTTTTGGGACAGTGAATACACTGTATACTATAATGAAGGACACATGTCATTCATTATACATTTGTCCAAACCCACAGAATGTATACTATCTGGAGCAGGAACCCTAATGTAAACTACGGACTCCAAGTGAGAATGATGTGTCAATGCAGGTTCACTGACTGTTAAGAAATGTAAGCTCTGGTGAGGGATGTCGACAATGAGGCTATGCATGTGTCGTGGAGGTGGGTATACAGGAAATCTGTGCCTTCCCCTCAATTTTGCTGTGAACTGAAAACTCCTCTTTTAGAAAGTTTAAAGGAAAAACCCAAAAACCAAAACTAGCTATATCCCCAGCTTCTTCATTATGGACAACTGATTAGAGCCGGAAAATTATTTTAATGGTTGAATTGACTAGTGTCTTTAATTATATGAATGTTTCATAATTTAATCAATCACCTTTGGAAAATCTTTATATTATTCTCTATGTACTCTTCTGATTATTTTCTTTAAATTTCTAGAAATGAAATTAAAAAAAAAAAATCTAATATTCATTTAAGTTACTTCCCCTGATAGAGGAGAATAGAGTTCACTAGCAGCTTTCACACTTTTCAAAGCAACAAACTCATCTTTTTGGTTGAATTTTGTCCCAATATCAGGTAGACTACAGTAAACAACATTTCCCAATGCTTCCTGTGCAAAATTGCATATTCCCACTGTTCTACTACCATTTTCTGTTGTTGCCCATTCATATTTGTCTGTGAATTTACACACCAGGCACCAGGAACAGACTCGGGCCACTGTGCACCGTGCTGAGTTCACAGGAGTGCAGGGAATGGCAGCACAGGCCAGTGTTATAGGTTCATTTTACTGTCTTAGCCCAGGTTGAGTAGATGTAACTCTTTCTGTCATTATTTTAATGCTCATTTCAGGGTTTACATAGCATACACCTTTCAATTACCATCATCACCACATTATGCCACTTCACACAGAGTATAATCTTATGATTCTCCCCCTTAGCCTGATGTGTTTGTCATTTTATTTATACATGTTCTTTTCTTCCCCAATATTATTTGTATTGAAACTGTTTTATCTTTTTTTGTTAATTTTTTGTGTTTTTTAAAAAGTTTTATCACCCTGGCTGGTGTGGTTCAGTGGATTGAATGCCAGCTTGAGAACCAAAGGGTCACTGGTTCTATTCCTGGTCAGGGCACATGCCTGGGTTACAGCTGGGTCCCTGGCTGGGGGTGTTCGGGAGGCAACTGCTCTCTTTCTCCCCCCTTTCCCCTCTCTCTAAAAGTAAATAAATAAAATCTATTTTAAAAAATTTTAAAGATATTTACATAAAGAGAAAATCATATATATTTTACCAATTTAGTTACTATTTCTAGTGTTCTTATTTTTCTAATATGAAACCATATTACCATTTTCTATTTGAGAAGCTTCCTTTAATATTTCCTGTAGTGTATATCTGCTGATGAAAAATTCTTTCAACATTTGTATGTTTGAAAAAAATCTTTATTTCACTTTAGTTTTTAAAAGGTATTTGTTGGATGTACAATTCTTGGTTGACTGATTTTTTTCTTTCAAATTTCATTGCACACGTATTAGAATTTATCTCACAGTTCACTGATGCTATCTATTTCGTATTTTTAAAAGATTTCATTTTGAGAGAGGGGAAAGAAGAAAGAGAGGGAAACATCAATGTGTGGTTGCCTCTTGCGTGACCCCTACTGGGGACCTGGCCTGCAACCCAGGTATGTGCCCTGACTGGGAATCGAACTGGCGACCCTTTGGTTTTCAGGCTGGCACTTTGTCCACTGAGCCACACCAGCCAGGGCAGATTTCACTGCATTTGTAATGAAGGGGGACAGAATTAAAGATAATACATTAGAACAATTGAAAGAGCCCACTTTTAGGCTTCTTCCACTTCTTATCTAAGAACTTAAATATTTATCTAGATTTATTGCTTGGAGCAAAACCTTTATTCCATAATTGTTTTAGCTATTATTTGATTGCCCTAAGTTTGTTCTCTACAAGATTTTTAAAAATATTTATTTATGCATGTATTTTAGAGAGAAGGGAAGGGAGGGATAAAGAGAAGGAGAGAAGCATCAATGTGAAAGAGAAACATCTATCGGTTGCCTTTCATATGTACCCTGACTGGGGATCAAACCTGCAACCTAAGGAATCAAATTGGTGTTTTTCTGCTTTGTGGGATGACGCCCAACCAACTGGGCCACATTAGTCAGGGCCCTCTAGAAGATTTTTATGACGGGTTCACAGGCTGGTGCTCAATCTACTGAGCCACACCATACAGGGCATCTATTTTACCTTTTTAAAAATTTCATTTCTGTCTCTATGTTTCCTTTGGATAGTTTCTATTACTATGTCTATGATTATTATTAAATCATCAATCATTTTTCCTGTATGTATTACCTGCCATTTATCCAATTTCATATTAGTTTGTAAATTTAATAAAAAAAAATGTACATTCTAAATGTTACTACTTAACAACTGGAATGCAGTTATATAAATTGTTTTCATGTCCTTGTGTGCTAATGCTTTTATCTGCATGAGTTCTGGGTAAGTTTTTCTTATTATTATAGGTTGCAATTTTCCTCTTTTGCCTGTCTGGTAAACTTTGGATATTTGGGTGCTGTATATACCTGTAGTCTTATAAATATTCTTCTTTGTTTTGGGACACAGTTACTTTGGAACTTTAGAACAAATCCCTTTGGGTCTTGTTTTTCAGATTTTAGGTGGGACCTAACAAATCTGTTAAGATTTGTGAGACTACAGCAGCATGCAGTCTAGGGGTAATTATTTCCTATCACTGAGACAAGACTCTTAAGTCCTCTACTCAACATCCTGTCAATCACAAGGTTCTCCACTAGGGCTGGCAGAGATAGACACTATTCCCAACCCTGTGTGAGCAGCAGGTACCCATTCTCTCCAATCTTAGCAGATGGATATATCCTGACCCTGGATAGATTCTTCACACAGGTATGCCAATCTCTGTTGAATGCTCAATGGGGATCTTCCACAAATCCTGAGTCTTGTCTCTGCGAAGGTTTCTCCACTCCTGCACTCTGTGTCTTGTGAACTCCAGCTGCCTGGGTCTCCCCAGACTCGTGTCCACAGCCTCAACTCAAGGAGTCCCTGCACCCCACCTGGATTGTCCCTCCCTATGCATGGCCTGGAAACTCTCAAGACATTAAGCTGGAGCAATTGTAGGGCTCACCTCATGCCTTTCCTGTTTTTAGAGATCACTATTCTTCATAGTCTGATCTCCAAGTGTCTTGAAAACCACTGTTTTATATATTCCAGTAGAAGGGTTAATCTGGTCCCTGTTATTTCATCTTGGCAGGAAGCAGAAGTTCCTGTTTGTTAAGTTTCCACCAATTACATACACAGGGCCAACTCCAATGCTCAAGTCTCAGTTTGGATCTTACCTGACTTAACTGTAGTTTCTGACAAGCTGATATTTCCATCACTTTTTTTGGATGTAGATTCCAGGGCAAATGTTTATTTGGTTTTATCTACCTCTCTGGCCATACCTTCTCAGTATCCTAGTCTGACACATAACTGTTAGTTATGGAATGTCTCAGGATGTAAGGTGAATCTCCTCTATGGTCTGTCTATGCCCACTAGACCTGGTGATCCTCTGTAGTCTCACAGCTTTATAATAAGTCTCAATTTTATGTTTCTAGCCTGGATCCCAGACTTGCATACCCAATAGCCTATTCAATATACCCACTTGGATGTCTTCATAGGCATCTCAACAAGTCTAAAATATGTTAACAGGTTATCTCCTGATCTTCTACCTGCCACCCCATCCACCCCCCACTCTACCTATACCCTTCCCTATTTCAATTCAAGTGAACTGAGTTCAAACTTCATCTTTTCAGGTGCTTAGGCCCAATTCCTGCGGTCATCTCTCTCTCACTCATGTAGGCTCTCCTTTAAAAATACATCCAGAATCCAGAATACCTTTTCCCACCTCCACTGACATCATCCTTGTCTAAGCTATCATCTTTTCTTGCCTGGATTATTGCAACACTCTCCTAATTGTTCTTCTTTTGCCTTTATCTCCCTTGAGTCTTTCCAACACAGCCAGGATAATCCTGTTAAAGTATAAGTAAAACCATTTCACTTTTCTGCTCAAAACTGACCATTGGTTTCATCAACTTACTTGTGTGGAATCCAGAAACCTTAGAGGCCTAATAAGGCACAACACAGTCCGGCCTCATTTCGTTACTATCTACCCTTTTTTTCTCTTGCTATGTGTTCAATGACTGCTAACTATGCTGGAACCCTGAATGATTTTTTAATACATCAGGAGTGCTTCTGCTTTAGGGCCATTGCATATGCTATGCCTTCTGATTACAATGTACCTCCTCTATGTAACTCAGTTATCATCACTCTCTTACTTCCCCTGTTCAAATGTCAACTCTGTAAAGCTCTCTTCAAAGCACTCTTTTGAAAATGAACTCAACTGACTTCCTGCCTACCAGTCCCAGTACTTAAGAGTCCATCATCATTTAATATATTACATATGATTCTTATTGTTTATTGCTTCTCTCCTTTTCCTATGAGTACAAAAATTATGTTGGTTTTTTTAGACAGTGCCTTGAACAGTGCCTAATAGAGCAGATCTTTGAGTCAATATTTACTGAACAAATCAATAAAATTAGAAGGTTTTAGCTCTGCCTGGCATGGCTCAGATGGTTGGGTGTCATCCTGCAAGGCACATGCCTGGGTTGTGGGTTTGGTCCTGGTTGGGGCATGTATGAGAGGCAACCAATTGATGATGCTCTCCCTCCCTTCCCCTCTCTCTAGAAATGGATAAATCCAATCTTTAAAAAAAATTAGAAGGTTTTAAAAATCATTCTTAAAAGTGTTCTAAAATTCACTACCTCTATAACAGTTCTTTAATTGCTTACTTGAACTGGAATCTTTGCAAGAAGATAAAAAGCACCCAGGAAAAACAATTAAAATTCATGCCATCCACATAGGGAATCTCCTACACATACCCATTACCTTGGCCTCCGGAGCCCATTTAATAGCATGTCCAACTTACTTGGAAAAAAAATTCTTTTAAATCTCTGGCAATAAACTGTAGTCACATACAGCAATTTAAAATTACCCTTTTATTTATTTTCTTAAAAGATTTTATTTATTTATTTTTAGAGAGAGGAAAAGGGAAGGAGAAAGAGAGGGAGATAAATATTAATGTGTGGTTGCCTCTTGCATGCCCCCTGCTAGGGACCTGGCCCGCAACCCAGGCATGTGCCCTGACTGGGAATCAAACTGGTGACCCTTTGGTTCACAGCCTGCACTCAATCCACTGAGCTACACCAGCCAGGGCTAAAATCGCCCTTTTAAAATGTACAATTCAGCCCTGGCTAGTGTGGCTCAGTGGATTGAGCACTGGTCTGAGGACAGAGGTTGTGGGTTCAATCCCGGTTAGGGCACATGCTTGAGTTGCAGGCTGGGTCCCTGTTTGGGGGTGTGTGAAAAGCAACTGATTGATGTTTCTCTCCCTTTCTTTCTCCTTCCTTTCCCCCCTCTCTGTAAAAAGAAGTAAATAAAAACTTTAAAGTATACAATTCAGTGTTTAGTATGTTCACAAGGTTGTACAACCATTACCACTGTTTAATTTCAGAACATTTTTATCCCTCCAAAAAGAATATCCATGCAAATTATGAGTCACTCTCCATTCCCTCCTCTTCTCAGTCCCCAGAAACAACTAATCTGTCTTTACAGAAATCTTATGAAAGATAGTCAGCCAATCCTCACTATGTACATATTCCATATATTTAAATCAGCCTATTCGCTAAAATTCATTTGTAGTTCCAAAATCAATATTCTCAAGTGTTTTTGTGGTCATTCATGGATATGCACAGAGGTGAAAAGCTCAATGCCGAAGTGCTGTCTGGTGTTCCTAAGTGCAAGAAGGTTGTGATGTGCCTTACGAAGAATATGTATGTGCTTGGTAAGCTTCATTCAGGCATGAGCCATACTGCTGATAGCTGTGAATTCAATGTTACTAAGTCCACAATATATGCTAAGTAGTGTGTCTTGAAACAGAAACACACATAAAGCAAGGTTGTATATGAATCAGTTGACAAAAATGTTGTGATCAGAGGCTTACAAAAACCTAACCCTGTCTTTTGCGTACATTTATTCAGTGTTTACAGCTTTATAGAACCAAACTATCATTAAGAATCAAATGTAAATAGAATTATACAACATGTGATTTTTAGCGTCTGACTTCTTTCATTTAGCATAATGTTCTCAAAGTTCAATGTTGATGTATCTATACTTCATTCCTTTTATCTTGGCTAAAAAATATATTGTTGCATAGATATACCACTTTTGTTTATTCATTCTTCAGATGATAAGACATTTGGGCTGTTTCTACATTTTGGTTATTATAAATAATGCTGCAATAAACATTCATGTATGAGTTTTAGTGTGGATGTATGCTTTTAATTTTCTTGGGTATATACCTCACACTGGAATTGGTAGGTTAAGTTAACTCAATGCTAACTTTTAGAGTAATTGTCAAATTGTTTTTCAAAGTGCCACACACACCACTGTACCTTTCCAGCAGCAATGTGGAAGAGTTCCAATTTCCCCACAGTCTCACAACACTTACTATTGTTTATCTTTCTGATTACCGTCATTCTTGTAGGTGTGAAGTGGTACCGCATTGAGCCTTATACGGTAATTTAAAAGTAGAAGTAGAAGAAAAAAAGATAAAGAAACAAAAGGCAGGAAGTTAGGAAGGAGGGAAAAGAGGGAAGGGAAAGGGAGGAATGCTGAAACTCTACCCTCAGCAGCTGAATATTCAATTGTTTAAAGTTGACTGACTGCGTCTGTATCTTAGGACCCTCACTCTCTTGTTTGAACACGGGCTTTAACATGGACATTTACCTAACTTTAACTTGTGATCTTGTTTTCCTTTTCTCTGTACCTAGTAGTACCAGGAGCCAAGGTTCAAAGTTGATATCTGAAGGGTATCTAGGGGCCCTTAACTCTCTAGAAAAGTGAGAAAATTCTTACTTAGTATGCAAAATTAGAAAGCATTCAACTTACTAAAAAATCTACAAACTTTTTACCTAACACATTCAACTCACCCCAGAAGCAAACGATTTTTAGACGCACAGTGAGGAAAATGACTAGGCTTTTATCAACTTTGCATCCTAAATTCTTGACCAGTGCTTGGTATAAGCAGGTACCACATAAATGTTTTAAAGAAAAGTATTTTTCTTAAAATAAGGCTGGTGTTTGTCTTACCCTCAAGGGATTTTCATTGAGGTATGGAGGCTCTCCTTCTACCATCTCAATAGCCATGATACCCAAAGACCATATGTCCACTTTGGGGCCATAAGCTTTCCGTGTAACCACCTCTGGTGCCATCCAGTACGGCGTGCCAACCATGGTACTTCGCTTGCTCTGCTCAGGAGTGATCTGGGCACAGAAACCAAAATCAGCTAAAAAGGAAAAAAAAATCTAGAGTTAATGGTGTCCATAGATGTTTTTATCTAGTGTTCACTTTAGATGACTATAATTACATTTGACTACACAGCCACTCGTTTCTTAAGATTGTATTAATAAAGCCAACCACATTGGGTTTACAAATATTTTGATGATGTTACATACGCTCACTTTTTCGCTTTTACTTCCCATAAGCAGAGAGCAAATTATCAGGAGGTATTTTATTCTAGACAATTAAATCTAGCCAGAGGGAAAAAGAGGTGAAGGAGGTAGGAGAGGATAAAGAAGAGATAAATGGTGATGGAAGGAGACTTGACTTGGGGTAGTGAACACAAAATATACAGATGATGTGATATAGAATTGTACCCCTGAAACCTACATAATTTTACTAATCAATGTCACCCCAATAAATTCAATAAGAAATTCTATCCTACAGATTTTAATAAAGTTGAAAAAGGTCTAAAAGAAAAAGTCAACATGCTGTCAAAAAACTAAACTAAAATTCAAACTAAAACTAAATTCAATTCAAAACTAAATTAAAAGTAAAAACTAAATGCTGTGAATCAGGCAAAGGTCAGAAAATGGTAACTATGTTGGAAAAAAAGAAACAGAAGCTAATCACTAAACATTCAACTTGGCAAAGTCTAGAAAAAGAGCACATTTAACTGCAACTGTACCTACAAGATGTGAACCTGTATTACTCCAATCACCTCATTTTAAACTAGCATCCAGTTTAGTATCTAATACTTTTCATTTAGTGGCAAAGTCAGGATAAAAATCTAGAATTTTTCCCACCCTTCCACTGTTAAACCTATTCTCTTCCATACATTAACTACTGTCAACATTTGTTTGTAAGCTTCAGACTTTCTGTTATACATTTACATACATACAAAAAATATCTGCGAATGGCTTGCTTCTTTCTACCTAATTAATACAGTTTTAAAAATAACTTTAGAGATCTTTCCATATTAATACATTGATGCACCTCATTATTATAACTATATCAAAGAATATAAAATTATCGTTAACTACCCTGGCTGACATTGGCTCAGTGGATTGAGTGCCGGTCTGGGAATCGAAAGATCGCTGGTTCAATTCCTAGTCAGAGCACATGACTGGGTTGCAGGCCAGGGCCCCACTGGGTGTGTGCAAGAGGCAACCTATCAATGTATCTCTCACACATCGATGTTTCTCTCCCTCTCTTCCTCCCTCCCTTCCCCCTCTCTAAAAAAAAAATAAATACATAAAATCTTAAAAAACAAAATATTATTAACTTATTTAACCATTCCCATAGTGCTACACATTTAAGATATTTTGGTTTTTCTTCACAGTGCTGCAGAGAACATCTTTGTACTTGTGCATATGTTTAGTAATTCTGTAGAAGCAAATCATAAAAGAATTGTTAGGTCAAATATGACTACTGATAGTGAAAATGAAAACTTATAAAAAAACAGATATTGTTCCTAGTACCTTATAAGAATTAACACAGATCATCCTTATGATAATTCTATTAAGATAGGTACATTATTATCATTTCCACTTTATAAACGGGGAAATTGAGGCATTTAATTTTTTAGATAACTTACCCAAGATCATTCATCTAGTAAGTGGAAGAGACAGGATTAAATATTATCCAAAAAAGTCTAGTTCAGTTTATATTTGTATTAACCAAAATTAGACATTTTTAACTTGCCTACTAAGATTAAGAGTAGTAATTTTACATTTCGACCATCTAATAGAAACTAGACCTCCTTTCTTGTGGTTGCAGGTTTGATTCCTAGCCTATGTTAGAGAGATGTTTAAAAAGGAGCAAAACTCAAGCAGAACAGACAAAAAAGTTTTTGGTTTACTAATCCAAGAAATGCCTTGAGTTTTGCACAATTGGATAAACCTTGGTAGAATTTTTTTACAGAAGTTTTTAAATCATATAGAGGGCATGGTCAGAACTGAGAAATTACAGCTAGTAGAGGAAAAAAAACTTGTCATTTCCCCCCATGACTCTTTTTCCCCTTGTCATCTCTGAGGTCAGGGTCACATAGCCCTCCCATGATTAGGCCACATTGCTAAATCCAATGAAAGCTGAACAGCCTGACAAAAATCTCCTAAAAGACAGAGACAAATTCAAGTTTATCTTTTGAAGACAGCACCAAAATTATGACAGTCCTAGGCACTGTTCCTCAGTGTTTTAGATTTAAAATAAATTTAAAACAACATACATTTATTAATTTTAGAGACAGAGAAAAGAATAGAGGAAGGAACCATCAACTGGTTGCCTCCCACATGTGCCCCGACTGGGGACTGAACCCACAATCTAGGTGTGTGCCCTCACTGGGAGTCAAACACGACCTTTCCCGTGTATGGGATGACACTCCAACTAATTGAGCCACCCTGGCTGCAGCTCAGCACTTTAGATTTTTAATCCTCAGAAGAATTCTTTGAAATAGATACTATAATTTCTGTATGTTTAAATGAGAACATAAACACAGAGATTAAGTAACTCACCTAAAATTATTCAGCAAGCACAGCAGATTTGCTATTTGCTGCCCAGTTGAGAGTCCATAATCTTTACCACTGTTCTCCCTCCCTCTCCATATACTGTCATAAGAATATTAATAACAGAAGTTTCTGCTTTAACAAAAGGCAGAAAAGTATAATAAATAACAAATAAATGTTAAGTGCTTATCTGTTACTCACTAAGTTTAACTGATCCTTCCATCCCCAAAAGCACATTGTCACTTTTGATGTCTCTGTGGATCACTTGGTTAGCATGTAAAAATTCCAGCGCCTGTAAACACTGAACAGAAGGAAAAACCGATCAATGAAACAGTCTCTGAAAAGTGTAAGGGAGGTTCACATGTAGTACACTTAGGGTCTGAGCATTCCTTCTAGTGTCTAGCAGAAGATACTCCAATACTTACATTTATAAAGAAAAAACATCCTTTCATGTACAAAGTTATAAAAATAAGACACCTTAATAAGATCCCCCATCTCTCACTTCTGGTTTTACCCAGAGATAATTATTAAATGATATCTTAACACATTGCATACCGCATAGAAATCTCTAAGACATACGCCAGGGACCGCACGTTTTTGGGCAAACTGCATGTTATTTAAATCATCCTACAGATCATAATGCACTTTAGGTGGTGTTTTTCAATAATTATAACATTTTTATTTACAAAAACAATTAAACAACTAATTAAACAATTAAAGTTCCTAGTACTTTTTTAACGTATGGTACTGCATAAAACATTTTCTTCTATGAAAAGGTACCAAACAAAATTTATTTAAGTATCTAGATTCGCTCCTTTTTCCATGGGCAGCACAAACTCTGCAGGCTCTCGTAGGAAATTTTTCTTTCCACTCGCTGGAATACACATAGGTTCATGCTGCTTCATATCACCTGACAACCTTTTGGGTGGATCTTTATGAGGTGCTCTCCTTGCACCCCCAGGGGAAGGGCTGGACAGATTTGTCTCTGGTTCTGGAGAGCCTTCATTACTGTCATCCATTATCCAGTCTCTCGCCACTGATAGCAGAAACTGTTCTTCATTTCCTCTTGGCCCTTGTTGATAGTTTCTATTTCCTTTTTCATGTTGATATCATTTGCAATGAGCTCACTGTAGCTTCCCTGTAGTTTCTGGTAGCTCATTGTGAGCTCATTGAGCTTCCTTACAATCACTGCTTTGAACTCAGTATCTGATAGTTGAGTTGCCTCTATTTCATTTAGCATTCTTTCTGAGGCTTCCTCCTTTCCTTTCATTTGGGAATTGTTTCTTTGTCTTCCCATTGTTTGTGGGACTCTTCTGATAGCAGAACTGTTTATACTTCATTTTTGCTTGTGAATTGAGGCGCTGGAAACACTAGAAAACTCTCCAGCAGTCCTTGACAGCGCGCGAAACACAAGAAAACTCGGAGTGGTCCTTAACAGATGGCACTCGAAACACAAGAAATCTCATGAGCAGTACGAAATGTGTTAACCAGTCCTATCATTCAGTCTTCAATATTTTCATTTATAAAATGATGGGTAGATCTGTATAATTTCTAGGCCTTTTCAGGTTTAAATGCCTAAATGTATATAACACTTGGCAAACACATGCACAAGGCTCTTTAGAAATCACTTGAGCAGTAAAGGATAAACTTGTGATTATTCCCATATGAATCTCAGACACTCAAGTTCAATCAACATGCCATGAAAAGCAGGCAAGATCCTGGGTAGTCTGGTTCTATCTAGTTGTTTATCAATGTGATGTAAGATGTTTTCATTTCTTCTAGGAGGACTTTACATAAAGCTATATCTACAATCTAGATGCCAATGATAAAGGAATAACTTTCTTCTTATGCTAATGTTTTAGAAAGCACTGAGTTCAACATGAGGAAAAACTCTTCCTTAAAAGTAAAAATGAGGTTAGATTTTAAAAATCTGCATGTCTCTATATTTTTAAATATAAAGTGTATGTAAATTGTAAACTCTAAAAAAGTTGTGTTTTTATTTCTTACCTTCATCAGAGTAGAACCAAAAAAAATCTGTACATCATTTAAAAAGAGTAAAAATATTCAAAATATTCTATCATTCAAGAAAAAAAAAAAAACAGATAAACTATGTACATTATTACACTACATTTACCAAGCATTTAAACAGATTCCGGAAAAAGAACAAATTCCCAGAAAAACACTTGTACAAATACAAACAAACTTGCCACAGTTGAAAGAACTCCTAAAATAATTTTATAAAAATTATGAAAAACTATTAGAAAAACGCCTGGCTGGCATAGCTCAGTGGATTGAGCGTGAACTGTAAAGTGTTGCAGGTTCGATTCCCAGCCAGGGTACATGCCTGGGTTGCAGGCCATAACCCCCAGCAACTGCACATTGATGTTTCTCTCTCTCTCTCTCCCTCTTTTCCCTCTCTAAAAATAAAAATGAATAAAATCTAAAAAAAAAAAAAAAAACAAAACTATTAGAAAAACAAAGTAAGTATAAATTCTTGTTAAGATTTATCAGCCTTTAAGTAACCAACATTTTTTTGTTAAGAGTAATGTTATTAAACTATCATATTCATTAACAAATATTTATTTCCTGCTCTACTAAAACAACCAAGCAAGTTGTGCCCCTTAGGTGGGGAACAATTAAATCAGAATTAAAGTTTTCCCAAAACCCCCATTATATGTACTATTCCCATCTGAACAAAGTTTCCAACTCACTTATGTATCACTATAGAAATGGTGACAGCCAAATCAAAGAAAACATTAACAGTCTTAAAAACTTTCACAATTTTGTCCTTTGTGACAATGATTCCTAAGATATTCAAAAGTAGTATCACAGTTTCAATGACAATAAGTAAATCATTAACCCAAGTCTCATTTGTAGAAAATGTTAGCTGAAGGAAGCAGGCTTGGTTTACACAGGTAATTTAGCAGAATTTAGGATTTAAAAGCAAACAGCTTCTGCACCTTCAATGAGATCAATAAAGCCAGAAGCAGATGTATTAACACTTGAAACTAGCATGCGTCCTGCTTTGCCCTAGAGTCCTCATTTCCGCTGTTGAGTGCTGCATTAAACATCTTGTTTACACAATGAATTATAATGATCACAGCACCGAAATTCACCTGTGAGTTCAGCACTTCAAAGGTCCATGCTTCATTCCAAAATGATCTTACATATAAAGGGCTGAAATTCTCATGCAAAATGAAATGGTATGGGGAAAACTTGCAGAGAATGTGTACAGAAAAAAAGTATCTCACACAATAAAATTAACCTGTGTGGAAAAACTTTCTCTTTTTTTCATCTCCTGCTACCCATAATTTATCAATGGGAACAAACTCACCTCTCTGCATACGGCAGCAATCTGTGCTTCATCCATGCAGGTTTCTGTTACAACATCAGTAAGTGATCCCCCAGCAAGGTACTCCATTACTACAAACAATTCATCTCCCACCAGGTAACTTAAAAAAAGAACACACACAAAATACACTCATACTTTTACTTTTTCTAAACACATGGCACTGTATGTTCAGAATTCACTGTATGTAAGAATTCAAAGTTTAGATATTCTCATAACAAAACTAGAAAGCTGGTAGCTTTGAGAAGTAGGAAGACAACTGGAAAGCTGCTATGTAACACCACAGAAAAATAACTAAGGGTGATTACGATTTTCCTGAATAATTTTAAAGTTTGCCAACAAGTGTAACTTGAGGTAGATTTATTCATCCTGCTTTACAGATGAAGAGACAGAAGTCTGGAATGGTTAAGCATAGCTAATAAATGACAATGAGAATCTGAAGCCAAGCATAAACTGATTTCAAAGCTTATAGCTTTTCTTTCTGCATACAAAATCTTTTTTTAATTGATTTTTTGAGAGGAAAAGGAAAGAGGGAGAGGGAAAGGGGGCGAGAGGGAAAGTGACGGAGGGAGATAGAGGCATCAATTTTTGTTCTACTTATTTTTGCATTCATTGGTTGCTTCTTGTATGTGCCCTCACCAGGGATCAAGCCCACAACCGTGACATACGGAGACGATGGTCTAACCAACTGAAGTACCTGGTCTGGCCCATCATCCAAAATTTTTTTTTCTTTTTTTAAAAATATCCTCACCCAAGGACATTTTTTCATTGCTTTTAGAGAGCGAGAGGAAGGGAGAAACAGAAAGAGAAACATGAATGTGAAAAACCTCAATTGGTTCTCTCTCATAGTGTCCCAATTGGAGATCAAACCTGCAACCTGGGTATGTGCCCTGATCAGGAATCAAACCCGTGACCCTTTGGTCTACTGAATGATGCTTCAACCAACTGAGTCACACTAGCCAAGGGCAAAGAAAATCTTTTTAGTAACAAGGTAGTATCTGGGGTTACTTTTTATAGCCATGGTGGGCCCACTGGCTTCTTGTGTGCTCAAACATCCAGCCCTGGGATGTAGGTAGGGTTTGGTGTGGCTGTGAGAGGCTACTGGGGTCTTGCCAAAATTACTGTACATCTCTCGGCCCTTTTGAGGACCAGAAAGCAAGATGTTGTCACAGCCCTTGGGGGAGTCCAGGGCCAGCTGATTAAAGGTGAGGATCTTGCCCTCGGCCTGGAGAATGTGGCTGCTAACATCAAGTGCACAAACCTTCAGTTTAGGCACCTCCTGGACATGCATATCATTGGTTATAGTCCCTACAATCTCAGTGGTTTTGCCCTCCCTACTCGGAAGCTGCATCTTCCGGATCATCTGGGAAAGGGACAGAGGTAGTTGGTTGGTGCAACTCATCAACAACCTCTTTAGCACCACTTGGTTGAAGGTGAAGTTGTTTCCTCTGGCTAGAGACCTGTATAGCTTGACCAACAGCCTTAGGTAGATGTCACGGTTCTTGGGTTATTTGTGCTGAAACTTTTGTCTTTATTGTGGTGGATGCTGACTCCCATGATGGCACCTTCTACTCCACCACATCTGGAAAATGCATGGTTTTTCTTAACTACCATGATATAATGATTTAAAATACTATTTTTAAAATGCTCCTGGAATGTTTATTTCTATGAGCAAGGTCCCAATTATTAGGGCTAAAGTCTAAAAATGGATTATCATTGCTCCATTCAAAACAAATTTAAATGTGGAAGAAAATCACCGATAATCACCTGTCTCTGCAATAATCACTATTATAATTTTTATTAATTTTTATAACTCATTCACATGTAACTGCTTTAAAAAACACACATAATTGTAAAATATACTTTTTAAAGAAAAAATCCTCAAAGATGTTTATTGATTTTAGAGAGAGGGAGAGGAACAAACAGAAATATTGATGTCAGAGGAAAATATCGATGTCAGAGGAAAATATCGAAGAGCTGCCTCTTGTATGTGCCCTAACCAGGGACTGAATATGCGACCTTTTTGGTGTATGGGATGACATTCCAACCGAGCCACATGGCCAAAGCATAAGATATGCTTATTATTAACATTAATTCCTAAATTAAATGAGTTTTTGACAAGATGTACTATTTACCCATGAAAGCATCTAAAATAAAAATTCATCTACAAGTTTAGAAACTGTGTGACCCATCACCTGTTAGTCAAGATATGAATCACCTTCCCTTAATGTTTCTACTTCTGAACCTTTGTAACTAATATGAGCACCAGCAGCAATGTCCTTCATTTAATTGCCCTCTCTCACTTGTCAACTGGTGCCTATGGAGAAAAGGGGACTGTTCAACGGCAGTATGCAACTTTTACCTCTCTTTCAAGCTTACTTTTCAGCACAGACATTCTACTGTGGTCTAACTAAAGTGGCTACCCCCGCAAAGCCATGAAATTTAAAATTTCCATATTTTTGTCCCAATGCTTGAGAAGTATTCATTATTTACCTGTCCAAGAAATTAACTATGTTGGGATTCTTCAATTCTTTCATCACTAGAATCTCATTAATGATCAATTCCTTCTTTGGCTGTTTCTGTAAATTAATCTGTTTGATGGCAACCTATGATGGAAACAGAATTAAAAAAAATCAAAACAAGTTTTCTAATTCTCTTAACAAAATTACAAATACCAATCAGGTAATAATAATTCAATTTACTGTAAATATTATACAGTGAAATTATAATTTACTAGTTGGCAGTACTTTTATTTCCATACTGCCTATGGCCATGCTTTATAACACAGACAGCTCAAATATTTTTAAAGATTTTATTTATTTATTCTTAGAGACATGAGAAGGGGGAGAAACATCAACTTGTAAGAGAAACTTCGATCAGTTACCCCTTGCACATTCCCTGACTGGAGACTGGGCCCACAATCCAGGCATGTGCCTTGACCTGGAATTGAACTGGCACCTTTTGATCTGTGGGATGACACCCAACCAACTGAGCTATATCAGTCAGGGCAAGCCCAAATATTTTTAGATTTCTCTTGAAATTGATTAACCAACTCAAAGACAGCTCAGTGCCTAGAATTAATTCTCTTTTCATTCCAAGACAGGAAATTTAAAAAAATATATATATATTTGCTTCTTTATAGAACAACACATTAAGTCCTTCTTTTTTCTCCTTAGTAAGACAAGTGTTCTAAAATTACACAGAATAATTCTTTCACCAGATTCAACTGAAAAAGCGATTTCTATTGATTATTCAGAGGTTTCTCTAGTTTCCTCCTATACTAAAAGCTAATGATAATACCCAGAACAATGAAAAAGTAGCTACCTCCTGTCCCAATGCCACATCGGTAGCAGTGAAAACTGTACCAGAAGCCCTAGGAGGAAAAGAAGACACAGCCAGATTTAAGGTTTCTAAATCACCACCATTTATAATATCCAAAGACTTTATATTTAGAACAAATGAAATGGGATTAAGCATTTAAGACTTAACATCTATAACAAGAATAAAAATAAAAACAAAAGCAGAAAAAAAATAAGAAAAAGAAGCAATCCATGTGTCTAAAACTTATGTTAGAAATGTTACAAATTTCATACCTACAAAAATGTAAGAAAAAGATAAAGGAAGGAAAGAGAAAAAGCAACATATACTCATGGATCTGTCTCCCTGCTTAAAAAAAAACAAAGAATTACAAATAAACTTGAACGTTCTTGTGTGGCCTTTCCAAAGGCATCCTACTTCTCTCCCAAAAGTAGTCTGTATGTGTTGTTCATACTGTATTTCATGTACATCAGTTCCACCCATTTCTCTATACTTTATCAAGGACATAGGTGTGTATCACTACAGAATATATGTAACATAATTCTTAAACTTCATATAATGATTTCACTATGTATTTTCAGCAATTTTTAAATTTAATATTGGATTTGGGATGGTCATCCATATGAAATAAATGTTATTCTTGTTTTTTTTATTGCTTTTTGTTAGATGCCATTCTTGTTCATTCATAATTATTGATATTACATATATTAATAAATATATTAAAATTTATCATTATTGTGCTTAAAAATGTTAAGATGACTCTCAAAATCTTGTTTTTAAAACGAATGCTGCAACTGAATTTAGTTTTTTAAAAGAATTTCATAAGGAAACTTTCAAAGAAAGACTTCAGCTCTTTCTAAATTCACAGAACATTTTCCAGAAATTAACATTAAAAATCCCAGATGTTCATTTGTTCCCAAGTAACAGAAAAAGTTCAGTTAATATAGTTTAGAAATACAAATTACTAGAAAAAAACACAGTAGACTCAAGATTAGTAGACTCAACATCAATACTTAATGGATGTGATTAAAATGCACATTTTTATTGCCTATACTCTTATAGCACAGGTGTCAAACACAAGGTCTATAGGCCATATCCGACTCTTCACCTTGTTTTTATCTGGCCCGGCACCTTGTTTCTACCCGGCAGCAGCACCGAGCTCCTTGCCCCTAGTTAAGGAGTAGCTGCATTTATACAGTCCTAAAATGACATTCGGCCCTTTGAAGGCAACTGCAAGGCTGATGTGGCCCCCCATGAAAATGAGTTTGACACCCCTGCTCTTACAGTCTTTTAAGTATTTTTAATGAGCAATTTTTCCACCCATCTAATCTCTTACCACCAATGGGCAATAACACTTAAGAAGAAACAATGTACCATTGGGGCTAAGCAGTAGTTTTTTTAGAAGCATCTAGAAATAAATGCATTACTTATTTACACAAATCTAAGGATAACTCATAGAATCCTGAGAGTGCTCAATGTCAGCAGGCCAAAGAAGTAACCATGCAGTCCACCTAGGAAGGATTGTGATAGTATGTCACAAATACTTACCCTTGCCCAATTTTTTCATATCTTGTGTATTTTTTCTTAGGGTCACCTATGCTTACAATAGTTCCTGTTTAAAACAAAACAACAAAAAATTATAAGCACCATCAAGCATTTCAAAATTGTAAATTAATTCTGGTATCATTATTCCTTTTAATAAACTCCAATAATTTTGTTTAGTTACTTACCGTCATTTTGTATTCTCATATTGAGAAGATATAGGTATACATAAATACATACAAACCTCCTTTGAAAAAGTTTCTAGCTATGTATGACCCTTAGATTTGGCCCTTTGGGAAAAAAGAGTTGCTCCCAAAAGTACTGACTATTCCAGAGATGTTACTCGTTAGTTAGTCAACACATAATAAATAATCAAAGAATAGTGTTTTGGGGCTTCATCAAATTTTAATTGAAGCTATTGTTCCTAAAAGAAAACAATCTCTTCTTTGTCTTAAGCCAAAATATAGGGTATAAATTAAAATGTTTGGGCCAAAGGTTACCAGAGCAGTTAACAATTTCAGAATAATGTAAAATGTAGAAGACATACTTAATTTCTCCATGATCTCTTCATCTGTCATTTTAGTCTTCTTTTTCTGTTTGTCAGAAGACTTGGCACCACCATCAACATTAGAATCACCAACTGGGGCAGGAATAGGGTCAATTACAGACCGCGTATAAATCTGCAGAGAGAGCGTTAATTACTGATATTTGAGAAAAAATATTTTTATGTGTTTTTACTGGCACACCATTCAGTTCTTTGATTTTTAATCAGAACTAAGTTGTCTCCAGTGTTCCAAAGAAAGAGTATAAAAGACTTGTAACTAAGAAGAACAAACGTGAAATATTTTTCTTTGGCACACCATACCTATCTTTTAAGTTTTTGTAGCAAAAGAGCAGATCTGTGAAAGAAATTTAAGTGTAACCAAATCTAAAATGATATGCAAGCAATGAAACAAAAAAGTTTAAAATCATGTTTTCACCAAAAAGGAGAAATAGAGCAAAATAATAGAAACATTGATATTAAAATAACTATTAGTCCCCCCTAAATTTTTGTGCAAATATGATTTCTATCATTTCCTTTCCAACAGCAAGGTAATAGGAGAGAAAGAAAATAGAGCCCTCTACCATTGGATGAGGATGCAATGGCAGCCCTCAGAGCTTCACCTGCTGAGCGCACCAGCACTCCCTCACAGGCCACTGCACAGCACCTTCCCCTAATTTACTTGTAAATATTAGCACAAGAAGTGGGACAGGACTCTGTCTCTATCTAAGGTCATTACTGTTAAAATTCTCTTATATCTATATCTGGTTTGGAATTTATTCTCAGGAGCCTCTTGAATGACACCAAGGCTTTGAGAGAAATGTAAAATCGGAGATAAAATATATATTTTGGGTATGAAGACCTAAGGTTTAGAAATAGCAGTTATCTGCATTGAGATAAACAGAGAAAATCAGAGCAATACATGAATTCTCTGGAAGAAAAGGTTTAATGTAGATAGAAAAAACAAGAAGTAGGGAGGGGGCTTGCAGGGCTGGGTGAAAAAGGTAAAGGGATTAAGCAAACCCAAAAACAAACAAACTCATAGACACAGATAGTAGGGTGATTACCAGATGGAAAGGGGGTGGGGGAGGTAGAAGATGGAAAAGGGGGAAAATGGTGATGGAAGGAGATTTGAGTTTAGGGTAATACCATATCAAGGACATTCTATTTGTTTAACATGGCTTCCTCAACTAATCAAAGGGCTAGCTAAAACATATATTAAGTAGTTATTTACTTCTGATGTGTTACAGAATTGTACACCTGAAATCTATAACTTTATTAACCAATGTTACCCCCCAAAATTCAATTAAAAAAAAAAAAACCCAATGAGAAGTATTTTAAAGAAGCCATCCAATTTTAACTTTCAAAAAAGCTAGTATTTTCAGAAGTGGTCTTTAGGTAAAGATCTCCTAGTCAAATTTCCCTACACTAAAATATTTTAAGCATGAGGGCTTTTAAAAATTGATCATTGGAAGTTAAATACAGACTGCTTTTTAAAACACACATGCACAGACTCACACAGCCCAATTCACTAGTAAGACACTCACTGATTTTGTATGATCTGGTCGTGGGGCAATAACAGGGGGAGCAGCCTCTTCATCATCATCATCTTCCTCTGTTGCTAATGTTTCTGATCCCTTGGTACTCAGCTGTATTTATCAATGAGCAAAATTGAGGAAGACAAGTCAAATATATCAATACATTAACATGACTCTTTTTAAAAATACATATTTGGAAAAATATATTTATTTTAACAGCTCATTTCAAAATGATAAATCCTCACTGGCTCTACTATAATCACTTAAAAAGTGAACACAATTTTCCAAGCAAAGAAAAGAAAGTTTATGAAATAAGTATGATAAATATCCATTATTCTTGAGAGAATTTACATTCAAATTTATATAGAGAATTTTATACTCTTTAAACAAACCCTAAAAGTAAACAATAAACCCTGGCCAGATAGATCAGTTGGTTAGAGAGCTGTCCTGATGCACCAAGGTTGCAGGTGCGGTTTCTGGTCAGGGAATATGTGAGAATCAACCAATGTATAAACAAGTAGAATAACAAACCGATGTCCCTCCCCCACCTCCCCCCCCCAAAATCAATAAATAAAAAAATTTTAAAGTAAATGATGACTTTATTTGTTAAGACCAAAAACAAAGATCCTCTAGGGTTTGTATAAGTCAGAGTAATTTTCAGGAATTTAAAACCGCTACATTCACCAGAAGAAAAAAAAAAAAGGTGGCTAACAAAGCAAGAGAGGAAGGCATTAACCTTTATATAGAGATTACTATAAGCCAGGTGTGTGCCAGGTAGGTACTTTACAAGTTATCCTATATAATTTTCACATAACCCGGGAGATGTTTCCTTCTAACTGACAAACTGAAAATAAAACAGTGACTTTGAAGGAGCATGATAACTTAGATAAAGTTTCAGACAACTTTGAAGATGGACAGGCTTCTCTACTGTTCAGTATGTCTCCATCGTCTATATTCAGTAGAATGGTGCCAGAGGAAAAGACTATCAAGTTCTTTGTATTCATGTTTATATATGGAAACATTACCAAAAGTAGCTAACCTGCTCTAGATCATAAGTTTTAGACACTTTGAGTTTATATTAAGGACATTCTATTTGTTTAACATGGCTTCCTCAACTAACCAAGTGGCTAGCTAAAACATATATGAAGGAGTTATTTATTTCTAATGGCTGTAATTTATTTTAGAGAACAAAATAAAAACTGAATTTATTTTGAGTAACTTAAATGAGAAGGAGAGCTTTAAGAAATAACATATTAACTCACTGCTGGTGTTCCAGAAGGGAAGCCATCTTTCTCTGAATATGGAAAAGAAAATAATGCTAAGTTAATATTTCAAAAAATAAATGTCTAAAAAAAAGAAAGAATATAAAAAGCAGAGGAAGTAAAATATTCTTTTTTTTAAAGATTTTATTTATTTATTTTTAGAGAGGGAAGGGAGGGAGATAGAGAGAGAGAGAGAGAGAAACATCAATGTGCGGTTGCCTGGGGTTATGGCCTGCAACCCAGGTATGTTACCCTGGCTAGGAATCGAACCTGCAACACTTTGGTTCGCAGCCCACGCTCAATCCACTGAGCTACACCAGCCAGGGCAAGTAAAATATTCTTAGACTGATTTTAAGTTGAATTAAATCTTGAAAAAAATGACAACATCAATATTTAAACAGGAATTTATATAAGATTGAGTTAACAAATCTCCAATATTAATGGAACTCTGTAAGTTTACTAAAAATTATTGAATTGTATACTTCAAATGGGTGAATTTTATAGCATGTAAATTATACCTTAATAAAGTTATTAAAAATTTACTTGAAACTACACCTGTCAATATGTATTTATTAAACTAAATAGAAATTTATTTACAATAATACTTTCTCCAGAAAACTGCCTATTGGGGAATTTAAAGCAACCATGCAGACCATGACAAGTGTGCAAAGGACAATTCTTGACATATATTGTGACCAATATGAAAACAAATCCTGCCCTGGCTGGTGTGGCTCAGTGGATTGAGTGGTGGCCTGTGAACCAAAGGGTCCCCAGTTCGATTCCCATTCAAGGTACATGCCAGGGTTGTGGGTCAGGTCCCTAGTAGGGGGCAGGCAAAAGGCAACCATACACTGATGCTTCTCTCTCTCTTTTACTCCCTCCCTTCTGCTCTCTAAAAATACATACATACATACATACATAAATCTTAAAAAAAAGAAAGGAAAACAAATCCCTAAGGGCCAAACAGTTCATGAAGACTAAATGTTCAAATGCTCATTCTGGAGTTTAGAACATTAAGTTGTGTTCTGTTTTACTTTAAAAAAACAACATATACGTATAAAATGTATGATTTTCTGGTACAACGTTGATTTTCAAAAAAGATTACTAATTTACAAACTTACTAGTTGACAGAAAAGTTCTAGGGGCAAGTACAACTTTTTGCTAAGATGTACTAACAAGGTAAAAAAGGTCAACATCACTTGCCAAGTGGTCTTTCTGCAATGATGCAATCAAATTAGGTACAATAAAAACCACATGTATGACTTTAGCTCAATCACATTGTTTTAAAATATTACATGTATGATTTCAGGAGACAGAGGAACAAATTAAATGCCATAGGATGTAATTAGTAAAATCCATGCAGGGAAACAAGACAAATGATCTCATTTCTTTAACAAATAAATTGCAAGGAAAAAGAGATCATGAAAACCAGCATGAGATAGGGAAACAGGAAGCATAAATATCAAAAAAGATTCAAGAGATATAGCAATCAACTGCAATGTATAAATTTTATTATGATCCTGACTCAAACTGTTTTTTAAAATCCACTATTCTCCAGTTCTTACCTGATATTTATATTTTGAGGCACATAGTCTTTTAGTCTAATGCTTATTTTGTTTATATTTTTGGTAAGTTTCAATTTTTGAGTGGACTTCAACATTTTTACTTCAAATTCTGTGCAATTTATATGGTAAAACAACAGTCCTCCTGTCCTACTAACAATAGATATATTTCTAATATGAACTATAAATCAGCATCTTTCCTTTCTATTTCTGGTAGTCATTCAAAAGCAATAAAGAGGAAAATAAAACAAGCAAAAGGCCAAAGCATCCACTTTTGTCAAAACTAAGAGAATAATATAATCCCCTGATTCTAAATAATGCATAAGAGCTGCTCTAATTAGTTTATAAAAGGTAGATCTATGCAAAGGAAAAAATAGAGACAAAAACCATAGCTTAGGTTTTTTTGTTTGTTTGTTTTTTAAGAAGGAATCTCTTTATCTAGAAGAGCACCACAACTCTGTGATCTCATCTGAATTAGGCCTTTTAGAGCTGACTGATATCTTACCTGGAGGAGTAAAGCTCAAATATTTCTGCTTCACTGTGTTGGAGTCATAGAACTTTAAGACATCCAACACAGCCTGAGGATTCTTCTTTTGCTCTAGTTTGGTGATATTGGAAGTCTGTAATAATCGGGCCCATTGTTCTGGCATGCCCTAAAAACAAAATAGTCAGAAATTAGTTAATTTGAGTTGCTCTAAATAAAATCAATTTCCTGAGGCAAATGACAAAATACAATGGCAAATCAATCCACATAAACTACAGGTTTGACTTAATTCTAAAAGGCCTGGTTTTTGATCATCTTAAGACTTCCATGCAAGATGGCGGCACACATAAACATGGCTTGCCACCTCCCAAAACCACATCAAATTTACAACTAACTATGAACAACCATTATTCGTAACTGCCGGAAATAGAGCTGAATGTAAGTCCCACAACTTCAGAATTAAAGAAGCAAATCACAACTTCCGGCTAAGATGGAGGCATAGGTGGATGCACCGTACCTCCACGCACAACCAAGATTGGAACAACAACAATTTAGAGGCAGGATAATATCCAGAACTGACAGAAAATTTATCTGAATGGAAGTTGGACAGCCAAGAAGTTGAAATAGACCAGTTCATCCAGACCGGCAGGAGGGGCAGAGACAAACAGCCAGGAGCAGGTCGAGGTGCGGAGAGCAGAGAGAGTTGGGCACATAAGGCATCCGGGGGCATGTAAGGCATCTGGGGTGCGCAAGATCGCAGCAGGTGGACCCTGAGTATGCAAGCGGCAGCTGGCAGACCCAGTGAAGCGGCGATTGTGGAGCAGGGCAGAATGCGCAATCCAGGATCCCAGAGAAGGGACTGAGTTCCTACGCAGAACGGAGCAACTGCCATTGTTCCCTCTCGACCCCGCCCCCACTTACAACATCACAATCTAGCGAATGGGGTGCCCAGCCCTTGTGAACACCTAAGGCTCCGCCCCTCACCATAACTGGAGCGACCAGACCAAAAAAAAAAGAGAGAGAGACGGCTCAAACAGAAGAACAAATCAATGCTCCAGAACACATCCTTTTAAGTGACTGAGAGATAGCCAACCTATCAGATGCATAGTTCAAAACACTGGTGATCAGGAAGCTCACAGAATTGGTTGATTTTGGTCGCAAATTAGATGAAAAAATGCAGGTTACAATAAAAGAAATTAAGGAAAATGCACAGGGAACCAATAGTGATGGGAAGGAAACTGGGGCTCAAAAAAACAGAGTGGACCAGAAGGAAGAAAAAAACAACCAAACAGGAAAGAATGGAGAAATACAAAGTCAAAAAACCGAGAAGCTTAGGAACCTCCAGGACACCTTGAAACGTTCCAACATCCGAATTATAGGGGTACCAGAAGGGGAAGAGGAAAAGCAACAGATTGAAAACATACTTGAACAAATAATAAAGGAGGACTTCCCCATTCTGGCAAAGGAAAGACTTCCAGGAAGTCCAGGAAGCTCAGAGAGTCCCAAAGAAGTTGGACCCAAGAAGAAATACACCAAAGCACATCATAATTACATTGGTCAAGGTAAAAACGAAGGACAGAATCCTAGAAGCAGCAAGAGATAAGGGGACAGTAACCTACAAAGGAGTTGCTATCAGACTGTCAGCTGATTTCTCAAAAGAGACCTTATAAGCAAGAAGGGTTGGAAAGAAGTATTCCAAGTCATGAAAGGCAAGGACCTACATCCCAGATTGCTCTATCCAGCAAAGCTCTCATTTAGAATGGAAGGGCAGACAAAGTGCTTCTCAGATAAGGTCAAGTGAAAGGAGTTCATCATCACCAAGCCCTTATTTTATGAAATGTTAAAGGGAACTTATCTAAGAAAAGAAGATAAAGAAAAAATAGGTATAGTAAGAGGACAGCAAACTCACAATTATTAACAACCACACCTAAAGCAAAACAAAAACCAACTAAGCAAACAACTAGAACAGGAACAGAACCACAGAAAGGGAGATCACATGGAGGGTTAGCAACAGGGGAGTGGGAGGAAGAGAGAGGGGGAAAAGGTACAGAGAATAAGTAGCATAGATGGCAGGTTGAAAATAGGGGGAGGGTAAGAATAGTATGAGAAATGTAGAAGCCAAAGAACTTATAACTATGACACATGGACATGAACTAAAGGGGGGGGATGTGGGTGGGAGAGGGTGTACAGGGTGGCGGGGAGTGAAGGGGGAAAATGGGACAAATGTAATGGCATAATGAATAAAATATGTTAAAAAGAAAAAGAAGCAAAGCACATCAAGATTGACAGGAAGGGTAAAGATGCTGAATGAGCTGGTCCCACACTCTCATGTGCTGGATAAGAATCGGGAGGGATATCTCAGGAACAAGGGGTCCCAGCCCCACAACAGGCACTCCAGTCCAGGATTCCAGTGCTAGGAAGATGAGTCCCCACAGCTTCTGGCTGTAAAAACCAGGGGGGGATTGAGGCTGTGGAAGACAAACTGCTAGAGTCCCAGGCAGTTCTTTTTACAGGGCCTGTACCTAGACTTACTCTGGTTTACTTCCTCTGAGATTCAGCATGGGGGCAACAGATGGAAAGGCACCAGAGACATACAGGGAGGAACTGAAGTGTCTGGCATCTGGATGAGAAGTGGGGGGCAGCTTTCTCCAAGAAGGAAGTGGTAGCAGAGGCCACTGCTCCTGTTCTGAGCACTCCCCTCATAGCGCTGGCTGGTGGGTGCCGTACATGAGACTTTATCTACCTGGCTCACACTGTTTGCTGCACCCTGTGATTCCCCAAGGTTCCACCACCCAACTTTTGAGACCACCCAGCTGTTTCCGATGGCTTTTCCATATGAATGGCTTGTCTTGGGTCATGCTTCAGATTCTTCAAAGTCGGGGGTGTCAAACTCATTTTTACCAGGTCCCAAATCAGCCTTGAGGTTGCCTTCAAAGGGCTGAACAAAATTTCAACTCCTTAGCAGTTAGGAGTAGTTACATTTATACAGTCCTAAAATTATTTCGGCCCTTTGAAGGCAACCTCAAGGCTGATGTGGCCCTGGTGAAAATGAGTTTGACACCTCTGTCCTAAATTCTCTCAAACAAGCAGCATCTGGCCTCAGCATGCCCTGTGCCTATTGCTAAGTGGCCCCAGGCCTGGTACTAGCAGCAGCTGGCTTTGGTTCACAGCTTAGACTTGCCTGGGTACCTCCAAACCCTGCACAAGTAGCAGCCAATTGCAGATGGCTTTGTAGGTTATGCCAGGTGGCCCAGGGCCAAACACAGGTGGTGGCTGACCTTAGCTTCCACCTCCTGGGAGGCCCCAGAGCCTGTGCACCCAGTGCACAGCTATAAACCACACTGGAGCACCACCACCCAACCACTTCCACAAGTGACAGTCAAGGGGTAGACACAGTGGATACCAGAGCCCTGCTAAAATAAGTCCTGCTCTGTGGTGTGGGCCACTACACAGCTGGTCCTCCATGGTTGTCAGAGGTGGTCAGTGGTCACTGCCAGTCCTTAGTCCTTACAGTTGACTGGCCCAGATAAACCACTTCCACTGATCTGCCAACAGAAATCAAGACTTAACTACAACATAGGGAGGTACACCGACCACACAGTGGGCACACCTTGAGTACCCAGCTTGGGTGGTAGGGGACACTGTGTCATTGGATCCCACTTTTCCAAGACAGGGAGTCATGGTAGCTCTACCCAATACACAGAAACAAACAGAGAGGCTGCCAAAATAAGGAGACAAAGAAACATGGGTCAAATGAAAGAACAGAACAGTATTCCAGAAAAATAACTAAACAAAATGGAGACAAGCAATCTACTAGAACAGAGTTCAAAACACTGGTTATAAGGATGCTCAATGAACTTAGTGAGAACCTCCAACAACATAAAAAAGGGCATGGAAACCATAAAAAAGAACCAGTCAGAAATGAAGGATACACTAATTAAAGAGAGAACAACTTACAACAACAACAGAATGGATGAAACTGAGAATCAGATCAGCAATTAAGAATATAAGAAAGCAAAAAACACTCAATTAGAACAAGAAAAAGAAAAAAGAACCCTCCAAATTGAAGAGAGTGTAAGAAGCCTCTGAAACAACTTTAAACATACCAATTTTGCATCATGGTGTTGCCAGGAGAAGAGAAAGAACAAGAAACTGAAAACCTATTTGAAAGAACAATGACAGAAAATGTCACTAACTTGATGAAGGAAATAGACATACAAGTCCAGGAAGCACAGAGAGTCCCAAAGAGATGAACACAAAGAGGCCCACACTGAGGCACATCATAATAAAAATGCCACAGATTCAAGACAAGAGAGAACCTTAAAAGCAGCAAGAGAAAAGCAGTTAGTTACCTACAAGGTAATCTCCATAAGACTGTCAGATGATTTTTCAAAAGAAACTTTGCAGGCTAGAAGTGACTGGCAAGAAATATTCAAAGTGATGAAAAGCAAGGACCTACATCCAAGATTACTCTATCCAGCAGAGCTATCATTTAAAATCAAAGGACAAATAAAGAGCTTTCCAGACAAGAAAAAGCTCAAGTTCATCATCACCAAATCAGTATTATAGAAATGTTAAAGGGACTTCTTTCAGAAGAATATCAAATATATGAATAAAATGGCAATAAATATGTACCTATCAATAATTAAGTCTAAAAAACAAAATACACAAAGAAGCAGAAGAGAAACGGAAATCATAGAGAGTGTTTTGATGGATGCCAGATGGAAGGGGAGTAGGGTAGGTAGATGGGCAAAAAAGATGAAAGGATTAGGAAGTACTAATTGGTTGTTACAGAAGAGTCATGGGGATATAAGTACAGCACAGGGAATACAGTAGCCAAAGAATATATATATGCATCAACATGGACAATGGTATAGGGATTGCCTTAGGGAGTGGGGGCATTGGGGTCTTGGCAAACGGGGGAAAAATTAGGACAAGTGTAATAGCATTAACAATAAAATATAATTTAACTTAAAAAATAAAAGGCCTAGTTTTATAAAAGCCTATTTATCCAAATCTATTTTGCATAATTACAATAGGCCCTGCTCCCTAGGAAAAATATACATCCATCCACAAACATTTTTAGAAGAGAAATGCATTAAGAACCTAGTATGTACACCAGAAAGTTACTTTCAAACTTAATACTGAATGGAAAAGCTTGAGTGATGATAATAAAAGTGAGTCCCATTAGGTAAACTTACAGTGAATTCTCCAGTAACAGCATCAAAGCCAACATGGATGGTGTGCTCAAAATCAGATGGAGGAGAAATTTCTGGCCGTTCCTTCTCTTTCTTCTTACTTCCTAAGGAGCATTAACAAAAATGAATCAGCCTATTTAAACAAAATAATCATGTTTATATTTTTTCTAAAATAGATTAGGAACAAAGTTATTCTAGAAAAGAGATTTCTCTTAAAGACAGTGATTGACAGAAAACTGATAAATGAAGCCAAATAACCAATCCTGTCATCAAGGGGTGGTGGGGACAACCAGTGTCCAGATTAAAGAAGCATCCAGATTCCCAGCACTAGGTCTGATTAAAAGGGCACAAGGCTGAAGAGAGAGCCCCTTAGGACACTGGTTCATTCTCTCATAAGTAAAGGCTTATATCTTATATACTGAGTAATTTGGAAAATGTCTACCAAATTCTATTTCCATTTGGTTATATTGATCCAGAAAAAACAACTTACATTACTATGATGATATAGATAATAGGCACTGTATAGATTAGTTTACAAAGATCACATCAACTTTCTTGTGCAACTCTAACCCTTTTTTAAAAAAGGAAATAATTTATTTTATTTTTAGAGAGAGTGAAAGGGAGGGAGAAAGAAAGGTAGAGACACATCAATGTGCAAGAGAAATATAGATTGGTTGCCTCTCGCAGCCCCCAACCAGCACCTAGCCTGCAACCCAGGCATGTGCCCTGACTGGAACTGAACCGGTGACCCTTCACTTTGCAGGATGGTGCCCAAACCACAGAGCCATGCAAGTCAGGGCCAACCCTTCCTTTTTACTGAAGTCAGTAATGGCTTAATTTTAAAGTTTCCATTTTTCTGTGGTTCCATCAATTATTTTTGCAACATTTCCACAACACACCTATCAATATTCTCTGTAAATCTGTTTCTTTTACTAGTCATCTCTCTCTCTCAGCCCTGTTCTTATCAGCAGTCATTTATGGCTAGGTTTCTGGTACAGCTGTCAACCTAGCACTTTTCTCACCTTTGTCCTGTGCTAAAATCTACAGTATTTTCTGGATCCTGTCTGTGTTTTTCCTCTTCTTGGTTTACCCCTTTGTAATTTTTGACTATACATATATTTAGGTGAAAATATTTATCCTACTTCAAAATTTCTTCCAATTTCCAGTGCTGCCATACGTAACATGTCAGTGCCATTTTGAGCCAGTATTGGCTCTATTTCTGGATGCTCAACTTTACTGCAAAGTTCTCTATTTGTATGCCAATGCCAGACTGCCTTGATTACTGAAGTTTTAAAATAAGCATTGAAACTACATGGTATGAGCCTTGTAACTTTTTCTTCTTTTCAAAGCTTCCTGACTAGATCCTTTGCATTTCTGAGTAAATGTTAGAATACGCTTGACAATTTACAAAAAAGCTTGCTGAGATTTTGACTGGGGTTACACTAATCTATTTTGTTCAGTATTAACATAGCCAGTCCAGCGTTCTTTTCACTGTCAGCGTACTTTTTAAATTCTTTTATTTTAACCTACTTATGGATTTTATATTTTCAAGTGGATTTCTTATAGGCAGCAAATAATTAGGTCTCCTTTAGCAATTTAATAATGTCTGCCTTTTAAGTGGGGTGTCTAGATTAATTACATTTAGTTATGATTATTAATACAGTTGGGTTAAACTCACCATCCTATTATGCACTTTCTAATGGTCTCTATCTAGTCTTTGTTTTTATTTTCCTCCTTTGGATTAACTATTTTTAAAATAATTTCCTTTATCTCCTTTGTTCATTTTTTCAGCTCTAACTCCTTAACTGTGCAAAGGTCATGGCTGATATGAGAGATACAAACTCTTTTCTTAAATATTATGTATAGCAGGTGTATAGGTTCAAGGTCATGACTAGCTATGCATCTGTATGTGACCGATGTTAATCCACAACATTTAAGCCATCAGTTTGGTTATAGCATGTGTTTCCTAAGGGCATGTGATATTTGATAGTAAATTGTAGAGAAATTGCAAACTCCAAAGTCGTGTTGATGTTGTTTATTTATTTATTTTTCTTTGGTGAACTTGGAGGTCAGTGTTGTGTTTTTTTTCTTTTAATTCACCACTGGAAATGGCTGGAAAAATACCTCGATTTGATAATGCAAGCAATGCTGAAGAACTTCAGCAAATGCTATTCGAATCCAATGATGAGAATGATAGTGTTGAACGTGAAAACGAAAGTGATTTAGAAGATGGAGATTATGTGGAGGTTCATTCAGAAGATTAGGATACCAAGCAAGATATTTCCAGTAAATGTGAAGATGAATTAAACATGAATGAAAGTATTTTTTGGGAAAGGATAAAGAATCAAAATGGAGGAAAAATCCAATAAAAAGAAACCTTACAAACAGTTACAGAGTATTTTGTATAAATTTCCATTAGTTTGGCCAAATGCAAAAAATACCAACCAAGACAGAATTTGAAACTTGGATTGCTTTATCACAAATGATATTTTAGATCTAATCTTATTATATACAAATGAATACACTGATTCTTATCTCAAGCTGGTTTTCACAAGATGCTAAATGAATAGACAAAACTGAATTGAAAGCATTTTTAGGCCATATATCTAGTTGGTTTACATAGTAGTGACTGGCTAAAATTGCAGGATTTATGGGCTACAGATGGTAGTGGGATTGAAACTTTTAGACTTACAATATATTTATTTGTAAAGAGATTTAGGTTTATTCATAATTGTATCAAGTTTGATGACAAACCTACCCACTTAGAATGCCTGAAAGTGCACAAATTAGTAGCTGTGAGAGACATTTTCTCAGCATTTGCTGAAAATTGTAAATTGTTACTCCGTGGGACAGAAGGTAACAACACATAAAATGTTACCTGGAGTTAGAGGCAAATGCAGGTTTAGACAATATATTCCATCCAAGCCCAGTAAATATGGTGTACAAATTTTTGCTATGGGCACTTCAAAAGTATTTTACACCGGAAATCTTGAAATATATATACTGGTAAGCAGCCCGAAAGTCCTTACTTGATTAGTAATAAACCAGCAGATGTAATCAAGAGACATGCAGAACACATTTATTCATCAGGATATAATATTATAGAAGGTAACTGGTTCACGTATACAAATCTCATCTCTAACTTGAAAAAGGAACAACTTTCATATGTAGCTACTGTTCATAACAATAACCACTAACTGCCTCTGAATTTGTCTTCTAAAAACAGACCAGAAAAAATCCAATTTATTTGCTTTTGGCGCAGATTACACACTTACATCTCATATACCCAAAAAAGGGAAAAACGTAACTAAGTATGCATTTCAATGACGTTGTAAATTTAGATCTGCAAAACCTGACATAATGCAACATTGCAAACAAACTAAGTCAAGAGTTGATGCTGTGGGCTACGTGATAGGTACATATAACATGGCCAGGACACCAGAAGATGGCCTATGGTTACTACACCACAGGTGACAAACACAAAACCTGAGGGCCAAATCAGGCCCTCTACCTTGTTTTATCTGGCCTAGCACCCTGTTTCTACCTAGCAGCAGCACCAAGCTCTTGCTTAACTGTTAAGGAGTAGTTACATTTATACAGTCCTAACATTACTTTCAGCCCTTTGAAGGCAACCCCAAGTCTGATATGGCCCCCAGTGAAAATGAGTTTGACACCCCTGCTCTACACAATTTTGATACTGAGGGAATAAATGCTCAGACTATTCATATGCTGAACAGTAATGTGAAAATAAAGTGCAGAATATTTATTAGAAATCTCATAATGGGCCCTGGCTGGCGTAGCTCGGTAGATTGAGCGCGGGCTGCGAACCAAGGTGTTGCAGGTTCGATTCCCAGTCGGGGCGCATGCCTGGGTTGCAGGCTGTGACCCCCAGCAACCACACATTGATGTTTCTCTTGGTCACTTTCTCCCTCCCTTCCCTCTCTAAAAATAAGTAAATATTAAAAAAAAAAAAAAAAAGAAATCTCATAATGCAGTTATTGTCAGGACAAATCAAAAGGCATTCAGAAATCTCTACAGGTGTACGTAAGACTTTACACCTGAAACTTCATCAATTTCAACACAAATTGAAGGAAATTCTAACACAGATACAGCTTCCTCAACAAGCAGAAAATGATGTGTTAGGTGCTGTGCATTCTAAATGAGACACCTATCAAAATATTTCTGCAAGTGTTGTGAAAAGTATTTATGCCTCAAACATAGCAATACTGTTTGTGATGACTGTTACAAATGTTTTGCAAAGCCAAGTATTGGACATTTTGATTAATTGTTAAAAGACAATTTTTGGTTGTATTTTTTAAGCAATATCCATGTTTCCATTATTTAAAAAGAAAAAATTTTATTTACGTTTTTATAATTCTTTAATAATTTCTACATTGTTAACTAAAAACAAAAATCATGTTTTATCATATAAATATAATAAATGCAAATTTTCAGTTAAAATTTTTTCCCCCGAATTTCAGCACATACTAGTAATGAGTGAAATGTATCTCTCAGATAAACATGACCCATGCTGTAATTTTTTTTACTGTGACCTCTGTGGGGTTAAGTACCATAAAGTTCACTTGTTTAAACTATACAATTCAATGGGTTTTAGTATATTTATATAATTGTGCTACCCCCATCACAATCTAACTTTGAAACATTTCCATCATCCTTAAAAGAAACCTTATGCCCATTAGCAATCACTCTCAATTGCTCCCTATTCCCCACCCCAAACTCTGGGCAATCATTAAACTATTTACTGTCTCCACGTATTTGCCTGTTCTGGCCATTTCATATAAATGGGATCACACAATATGTGATTATTTATAAATGACCTTTTTAACTTAGTCTTTAAGGTTCATCCATGCAATAGCATGTTTCAGTGCTTTTTCATAAAAACTCAACTGATTATCTTTTAAAGAGATTCCATTGTGTTTCCTTCCCTCTCTCTCTGAGGGCTACTGCTCTAGAGATTCTGATAAGGAAAAACAATCAACATTCACATTGATTTTCATTCCTTTAAACAGATGCACATTTCGATCTGACACCATTTTCCTTTCGTTTAAAGGATTTGGTTTGTTTCTTGTAGTGCAAGACTGCT